TATATATATATATATAATAACGGAATTTCTCTTTCAATTATAAAACAATATTTTTAAATTTGCACTAGTTCAAACACATAATGAATTTCTAAGGTTGCGAGAACCAGACTGGATATTAAATCGGTAAAAGAAGAGGTACAAGGTTCAATTGTTAAGAAATATAAAATATAAATTTATTTAAATATGAAATAAATGATGTAGTTTAGAAAATTGATTGTGAAATATAAAATAAATATCTTCTAACACAAAAAAAATTTTGACATATTATTTCAAACTTTAACAATAATAAATTTTCAAACATTTAAAAATGAAATATATAAGGATCAAACTACAATATTTTTAAAATAAAAAAATTATAATGAATAAAAATTAAATGCTGTAAGAACCTAAAATCTAATGCGACTTCCATCTTTACTTGCACCTTAACCATCTTATAACATAGTTTCCTCGAGGTTTCAATTGGCTCCCATCTACCACGCTGACATGAGAACCCACGATATGGTTGGTTGTTCCATGTGGCACTGAGGAACTCTATGCCCACTATGTTATCATTTTCTTACTCAAAATTCCATTTTTTACTCTCCTTGACTCCACTCCAATGCTTTTTTTCTCCATTGGAAACTCCCAATGCAGAGCCCATGTACGGATTGCTCTCATCCCATTTGCTTCTCTTTCGTATCTTTCTTTTTCGTCTCACGAAAATACAAGTCTCATAAATGATCTCAAAAAGCTTTCTCCTATGGAAAAGAAGATTCAGAAGAACCATAATAATCTGTTAACAGATTATTATGGTTCTTCTGAATCTTCTTTTCCATAGGAGAAAGCTTTTTGAGATCATTTATGAGACTTGTATTTTCGTGAGACGAAAAAGAAAGATACGAAAGAGAAGCAAATGGGATGAGAGCAATCCGTACATGGGCTCTGCATTGGGAGTTTCCAATGGAGAAAAAAAGCATTGGAGTGGAGTCAAGGAGAGTAAAAAATGGAATTTTTAGTAAGAAAATGATAACATAGTGGGCATCATATTCAAGGGTGGAAGGAAGAACAACCAACCATATCGTGGGTTCTCATGTCAGCGTGGTAGATGGGAGCCAATTGAAACCTCGAGGAAACTATGTTATAAGATGGTTAAGGTGCAAGTAAAGATGGAAGTCGCATTAGATTTTAGGTTCTTACAGCATTTAATTTTTATTCATTATAAATTTTTTATTTTAAAAATATTGTAGTTTGATCCTTATATATTTCATTTTTAAATGTTTGAAAATTTATTATTGTTAAAGTTTGAAATAATATGTCAAAATTTTTTTTGTGTTAGAAGATATTTATTTTATATTTCATAATCAATTTATCTAAACTAAATCATTTATTTCATATTTAAATAAATTTATATTTTATATTTCATAATCAGCTCTGGCTTAACCATTGTACCTTGTACCTCTTCTTTTACCGATTTAATATTCAGTCTGGTTGTTGCAACCTTAGAAATTCATTATGTGTTTGAACTAGTGCAAATTTAAAAATATTGTTTTATAATTGAAAGAGAAATTCCGTTATTATATATATATATATATATATATATATATATAGTTCATATCCGTTCTGGGACTTGGAAATACCTTGAATATTGCAAAAGTTTTTAGTACTGCCATCATGCAATGACATAGTTGGAATCTTTAGAAACTTCAATCCAGTTGAATATCTGATGGTTAATTGTGTACCAAACTAACATATTTCTTTCAGGTTCTTTTATTTCCAACTATTGTAAACCAATACAATACAGTGCATATGGTGGGCTGGGCTGAAAGTGCTAATGGCAAGCAGAGATGGATCAAGATGCAAACAAAGTCTTGAGCTGGAAGAGCATGCCTAACTTACATTTTTTTCCTAATCAAATTAGAATGCTTAAATGTTCATTTCACTCTAATATTTCTTAACCATTTATATTGTTCAACTTGCCTCATCTCTGGCTTTGCACATATGAGTGTGTATTATTTGGAGAACCAGTTTTTTTGTGAAATCTCAAATTTTCTATCATCTTGATTTAAGCTTTGCCTTCATTATATTTGATATAAATCTTGTTAAAATAATGATGCATTTTATAATCTCTTAATATGAAATTTTAGGGAATACTAATTTAAGATTTTATAGTTAATTACAAATTCATGAATATTAAAATTTATTAGTTTGTTTTTTTTTAGTTCGAAAACTAAATCTTAATATTTATGTATTTGTTTATTGCAGCATTGTTGTTTTGGATGGGTTTACTAATAAATTGAATTTAGTTATTCAAAATGTAAATGTGGACATATTTTGATTTTAAGAAAGTGTGCAAAAGTATTCATGAATCTAATTATTATTATGTTGCATGTAGTTGTTAAAATAATAAATGTATTCTTAAGTGTATAGTTTTTATTATTTTGCATGTAGTTATTAAAATTTTAAGAAGTGTTTTCAAGAATGGCAGATGTTAGAAAGAGTGATGTGATTGAGGGGGTTTTGAATAACGTTTTGAAAATTGAATCGATTGGCCGGTTCGAGTAACATTATGAATCTTCTTCACGTGAGCATGAATTGCCACTTGGGCCGATAAAGTGTTGAATCGGTCTTAATTATTATAAAATCGGTCGGTTGGATCAGATTATCAATTTAAATTTTTCTTAATTGCTTGTTATATTGGTAGATTTTTCATATGTGAAATGTTTTATTATAAAATTTAAAATTTGATAATTAGATTTTTTTTTTTTTTTTGAGAGAATGTGAGGGTCACGTCCAACTTTATTCAAAAAAATAAAAAATAAAAAAAAATAACATAAGAACTCAAATTATAATTCATGAGAGACCCATAAAACACTACAAACAATAAATGGAACTTTAATAGCACTCTAACAGCAACACAACCCTGAAAATGCTCCTATAACAATAGAATTGTAACAACACTTCAATAGCAACAATAATAATAACAACGACAATTTTATTGGTAGATAGACAGACCTTCTAAAACGATAAGACGTGCATAATAATATTAAAATTTCATCCTAAATTTCAAATATATCAAAATATATTCAGAAACTGATTGAATTTTAATAACTTTTGGAATCACGAAAGCTCAATACCAAACTCAGCATTTAGAGAAGATCAATGTGTAAATGCACATAACCAAATTTGGCAAACATAAAAGATCATCGCAGAAAGAAAGAATGTCGAACAACATAAATCCAATCAAAGCCAAAAAACCCCACTCAACATCAAGCCAAAAATTCCAACAACAATCAACAAATAAAAACCTAGAACAACAACAAAGAACAAGATAGAGAAGAACTATTCTTATCAAAGAATCGAGAAGTTAATAATTGTAAAAAAAAAAAATTCTAGTAAAATTAGGAATACAATCTTTAAATTCCTGAATCAACATAATGAAATATTAAAATTACATTCAAGATTTGAAATATATATCAATATCGGGTTGAATTTTAATAAAATATGGAACAACACGACAAAAAACAGGTAAATCATGTCAAAGAGAAACTTGAAGAAAAAAATTGAAAAATAAATCCGACAACATTAAATTAATGTAAGTTATAAAAATTCCGTAAAATGAAAGGAATAGAAATTTTTAAACTTCCATTTCCTACTTTTCTCCTCAAATATCCGATGAATATTCTGAATAATAACATCAATTAGAGGACGATGCGTTTTAAAAATTCTGCAATTCCTTTCATACCAAATATAATAAGTAATAATTTGAATTGCTAAAAGATGAAATTTCTTATAGATTTTACAAGAAATAGCATAATGATATAAAACCTTTATTTATTTAATTGATTTATTAGTATATTTATGTATGAATAAGGGAAAAGAGAATAAAAATATATAATAATAAATATTTTTAAGTGATATACCATCAACCAATTTCTTACATCAAACACGAATCTCGAGGCACACCACGAATCTCGCGATAATTTTTCGAGTAAGAAGTGTTCAAACTTTGATAAAAAGGTTATCAAGAAGTTCAACCTTAGCAGACTTGCAGTCAAACTGACCAGCTCGACGAGATGAACCCAATGGTACCAAAGTTGGTCCAATCCAAATCAATTCAATCTCATATGAAGTCATTAAACCATATTTGAAAGTTTTCCAAACACATTTGAAGATCAAATGGATGTCAGATCCAGTGAGTTCATAGTTGAATCGAGCGTCTCAACAAGACAAGTCCAACGATCCCTAGATTGCCCAATCCCAACATCATTAAGACACTCAAATGTCCATCAAATGACGTCTGATCAAGGGAACCTCTTCGGGTTGTTCGATCAGAGTGATTCAAATTCCCTCATTTATTGCAATCGGGACTCTATAAATTGAGCCTCACTTCTCTTATTAAAAGGGGAAAGGAAGCTTGAAGCCAGAAGAAGACTGAATCCGAGTGAAAGAGCTAAAGTTGCCTTCTACTATGCACTGTAGACCACGCCACCACCGGCCACTGTCGACCACCACTCGCCGGTCATTGTTGGCTATTGTCGACCGGTAACTTACTTTGAAATAGATGTATTGGAGTCACAAAACATCCTACAAAGTGATGCGTCATCCGAAACACCAGGCTAACCCCCAAAACTATGCAACAACATACCTCAAAGGCGGTGTAACAATGCACCCAACGAAGGTGCAACAATGCAGCCCGAAGATAGTGTAACAACACATCCCAAGGACATTGCAATAATGCATCTCGAAGACAAGATAATGACACACCTCACATATGCTTGTGCAGCTCCAAACTTTGGCCATTGCGACCAACAGACATCATTGCAACTCAGCAATATGACCTAGATGACCAACTACAACCTATGTGGTTCACAACTCATGCAACTTTCAAGTTTGGGCCTTACATCCTATGGATGTCATTACAACTCACCACTTCAGCCAACATGGTCCACAACTCAAGCAGCTACTAACTCAGCCATTGCGGCCCACGGAGGTCATCGTGGCTCACCATTATGGCCTATACGTCCACATATCCCGCAACTACCTACTACGACCTCTATTACCACCTGATACTCTTGAATCACATCTACGACCCGCTTGTTCATCTATTGTCATGATTATCAACTATGACTTATACAACATGCTGACACTACTGCCACTTTCTATAATACTTACGATGGACTGCTACCTCTACTATAACGATTATGGCCCTTACAACCTGTTATCACCAAGAACTATTGTCAGATTATAGATATCCAACTTTATAATTCCATGTTCCCTAATTCAGGAGAAGCGTGAATTTGTGTACACACCATTCATAGCGGATTATTTCAACTGAGCAATTTATTGTGGTTTTTTCCCCTTCAAAAAAGTTGAGATTTCTCCTTATTTTTAATTACTTGAGTGTGTGCTGGTTTTTTATGCAATACTAAGATTTTAATCAATCACTCCACCACCGTGAATCTTCTATCACGCATCAGCTTGGCACCATCTATGGGAAATGAGGCAACATTCAACACTATCTTCAACTATAAGATGTGTGCCCCTACTTCATTTCCCAATGATGTACATCATCCAACCGGCAAAGAAGCCTCCTTTGTATTTTGAAGATCATCTCTGGAGCATTCTTCGATGTGGGGGGAAAGTTTCACTGTAGTCCCAAGAGGTCGTTCACGTCAACTTTCTAGGACTTCTCACATCTTATTCAAACACAAAGTCTTTCATAATTTTTTCTAGACTAGAGGATCAACCTTCACTACAGTCTCGAAAGGTCGTTCACATTAATGTCCCAAACACAACTATGATGGGGAGTCATCCCACATTTCATTCAAATTACATGTCTTCAAGAATGCTCCTAGACTGAGAGGCAATCTTCACCGCAAATAACGCTTCCCAGCATTCCTTTGTCGTATTAAAGTTCTTCTTCAATAGGATTAGGAAGGTGAGCTTTTCAAGTTTCGATACAAAGGGTTATTTTACATGCTCATGTGGAAAGCAGACTCTCCGGAGGAACAATAAATTCATAAGCAACAACTAAGAAGTTGTGAAACATTATGCTTAAATATGGTTGCAATCATATTTCCAAGAAAGCCTGTGGTCCATTGCGGCCTGTGGTCCATTGGCACCAATCTCGAGAAATGCAGAGCATCTCTGACACCTCGTTCTAGGCTTAATCAATCTAAGGGGGACAATCCAACCTCTTTCATCACAGGCTATAGACTCTGATAGGTTAAAAATCTTTGGTGGATTTTCTTCGTTCTCTTTCATAATAGGTTACAGTCGTTAAGTAGAAGCTTTGACTAATAACCACAACTAGTTTAATCATCATGCGTGTATTTCATATAAAATTTTCCATTATAGATTAATGTCGTCGATCGTCTCTGGCTATACAACCCATGACAGGTGTTCCATCCTTAATGCATTCTTCTTTCAACTATGCTTCAACATATGCTACAGTCATCAGACAGGCACACATCGACTAACAGCCAAGTAAAATTCGAACATTCACAATGGCAGATAAGGTCTTCGTCTAGTACCCTTCAAGTCGAGCCTAGGAGGCAATACTCCATGGAATGCTACCATGTTTATGGAATTCAAGCTCAAGAAGCAAGACTTGATGGAAGATACGATGCTCCTTGAAGTCGAGCCCAACAGACAAGACTCGATGGGAAGATATTGTACTCTTGGAAGTGGAGCCCGAGAGGCACGACTTAATAAAAAGCTATCATTCCCCTATGGAAGACGAGCCCAAGAGGTAAGTCTCAATGGGAAGCTAGTAGTGGACATAGTCCACACTTGAAATACTTCAATTGAGCAAGTGGTTGACAAGGTTTCCACTCAAAAGACCTCAGAAGGCTACAAGCCTCAGAAGACACATTTATATCGAAGTGGTTGACAGAGGTCACTACGCGCCTTGCGTACCTTCGTGCAACTTCAGACCCTGGCCCAATTATACATGCCAATTGTTACACAACTGCGACCAACGACCATCATTACAACTCGCCAATACTACCAACATGCCA